GAGAAGGAAGAGTACGAGGGAGCTGTGGCAAAGCAGTGTAGTCAGTGCAGAGTGGGGTTAGCCTAACGAGGGAGGAAAGGGTACAACCTCATGGAGAGGTGAGGGTCTTTAAGTGTTGCCAAGGTGTTAAAACTTTATATTCTTTTAGGCGGGGGGCTGGCGGGAGGTCCTCCCAGTAAGTCTTATGCCTAGTTGAAATTCTGAGTTGATCTTCCCTCTTTTCTTCATTCACGTGGCATGTGAAAACCAGAGTTAAAAAATGATGGGCTGTGATATGAGAAGTGACCCTCATCTTTTCCCTGAAATACTTGTAAGCAGTTGTCTTGGTTATAATCTGCTCATCTGTTAAGTTTCAGTGATGCTCAGCAGACAGCATGATTACAGGTTCTGCTGGTGCAGGAGAAGTCAGTGCTTTTCCGTCTCTGTCACTGACTCACGGGGCAGCCTGGATGCATTTAACCATTAGGTGAATGTCTCTGAGCCTTGGTTTCTGTAGTGTGAGATGTAGATAATTACACTTCTATTCGCTTGCCTCATGGGACTTCTCCTAATATTTATAGCTGCAAAATACTTTGCAGTCATTTTTATTAATAGTTGCCAGATGTGTCGTAAGGATTAATGAACTTATGATCTGAAATGTTTTGAGCTCCTGAAATAGGACGCAACTGCCTGCACAAGGGATATGTAAAAGAGCATTAAAATGCAAACAATACACATTTGGAAATTTGAGCTCTTATGTGTGAAGGACAAATGGCACACTTAAGTTTCAGTACACTTTGTAGGTATTTTTGGTATCCTTAATGAATACCTGAATTTGGTATCCTGAATTCATCACAGGTCATAGCCAAATACAGAAAGCTGGGTGCCCCCCGCCCTTGCCCCTGCACGTAGGCATATGCACAAGTGCACATAGGGACAAAAATGGACACTGATTCTGCTAATACCACTGTTACCCTCATCCCTGTCATCCATCCTTTTGGGCATCTTTGACTCTGTTTGCCCAGCCTCCCCAGCTGGTTGTTTCCAAGTGTTCAGTAGCCATTTCCATTTCCTTTTCCTCTTACCATCCAAGTTCAGACTCTTAATGGATCTCCACCAGACCATTGAAGCAACTTCTTAATTGATCTGTCCAACTTTTGTATCTCTCCTGGTTCAGAATTAATCTTCTCTACACGTAACTCTTATCACTCCTCATTCAGTACCTTTGATAGCTCATTGCTGCAGGTGAAAATCAACCAGGAGCTCACAAGGCCTCCTGCACACGGCTCTAACCTGCTTCCTTCTGCCTGGTGCAGGTCACTCTAGATCATTCTCTCTTTCTCAAAACCTCCTGGAAGATTGAGTAGCTTTTCTTGGGGCAGAGGTGGCAGTAGAGGGAACACATCAGACTCAGAGAGCAGCTCCTTTGCCGTGTCATTCTTCATGTTGGAAGTGTCCCCCTGCCCCGGGAAAGCCACTCAGTCTTCAAGGCCTGTCTCAAAGTAAAATTGCCCTCATGAGCGTATTCTAGGTCTGTTTCATTTATCATCCCTTCTACTCTGAATTTTCTCTGCATTTGAAACTTTGATTCTAATATCTATAATTTTCCTTGATGTTTCAGTTATTTGCGTACATGTCCTTGCCAGTCTGTTGAGAGCAAAGCCTGTGACTTTGTGACCTTTGTGTTCCTCACAGTGCTTGTTGCAGCACCTTGCACACCAAGACCTGAGTCTTTGTTGAACTGAATTTGGACAATGAATCTGAGTCCCAGTTATTTTTTTCATGTAGGACAGCTTTATGGAAACATTTGAAATATATAAAAGTAGAGAAGATACTAGACTGAATCCCTGTGTCCTCATCACCTAGTGTCAGTTACAGGCACCTAGGTGGCTTAGTCAGTTAAGTGTCCAACTCTTGGTTTTGACTCAGGTTGTGATTTCACGGTTCATGGGGTCAAGCCCCACATCGGGCTTCACTCTGGTAGTGTGGAGCCTGCTTGGGATTCTCTCTCTCTCTCTCTCTCTCTCTCTCTCTCTCTCTCTCTCTCTCTCTCTCTCTCTCTCTCTCTCCCTCTCCCTCCCCTACCCCCGTTCTGTCTCTGCCCCTCCCCCACTCTCTCAAAATAAATAAGCTTTAAAAAAAAGGAAACAATTTCAAAAAATGGATACATGGCCAAGCTTGTATGCCCATACCCCACCCTCTTTCATACGCACTTCTGAGTCCTCTGGTGGAAAAGTACCTACCTGACACTCACTTGGCCAGAGTTGGTTTCTAGCAGCCACTACTGCCTAGCTTTCCATGGAGAGGGCATCACGAGGTTACAGCATGTGAACCAGAGAAGTAGGTGTGCATAAAGTACTTGACATTACACTCAGGACCCCTCAGACGTGATCTTATGTTTGACACTACTTCTAGCTATTTCAGATGTGTGTAATCATCCAGTGTCTGGCTCTGCACCCCTGTAATCCGACTGGTGGAGTTGGGGTGGGCCTGTTTATGATGCAGATGTGTTTCTTGATGAAGAAGTGGCCATTGGGGGTGATTGGCTGTGACAGGAAGCTTGTGAGAGGGAGATGTAAGGTCTCAGCTTAGTGGCCTGGAGCCATGACATTGGACCCTGGGTACCAGGGGTGACTCCAGATACTATGGGAGAAAGTAAACATAAAAATAAAGACAGCAACCCCTGAATCCAAGGACTATAAAGCAGATTGGAGGATCCTTGCTTGAAAATAACTTGAGTAAGTTGCCAGCAGAGTGGAGAAATGGAAATTCCTGTGCAGGAGAACCAGCTAGGTGCTGTGAGGGACAGGGGAGTGCTTTGTTGTGCAAGTTGAGGGGAGAGGTTTTCCTGGTCCAGAGATCCAAGGAAAGGCTGGATGATTCTTGTGGTTGAGGCCCTCATCACATGCAGCTGCCACCACCAGGATTTCTTCCTTCATTCTCTTCCGTTGGCCACTCATATTGTCTTTCTTTTTTAAAGTTTATTTATTTATTTATTTTGAGAGAGAAAGAGAGAGAGAGAGAACATGAGTGGGGAAGGGCATAGAGAGAGGGAGAGAGAGAATCCCAAGCAGGCTCCACGCTGTCAGCACAGACCCCAGGGCAGGGCTTGATTCCACAAACCATGAAATCATGACCTGAGCCAAAATCAAGAATTGGACATTGGATGCTCAACTGACTAAGCCACTCAGGTGTCCCTCACATTGTCTTTCTTAAACATACCTCTGATACTAGCTCTCCCTGGCCATAAGCCCCTGTTAGCAGGGTAAAGTGTACTTTCCTTTAGTTTATCCCTAGGTTCTTCCATCTATTTAGACTTATCTCCTACCATTTCTTACTTAATTCCCTGTCTTCTCTGCTTTGTCTCCGATCCCACCACCATTCCCTTACCTTCAAAAGAATTAATACCTTCTAGCTCTTTTCTTCAAAGGCAGTTGCAAAGCTTAAGTGGTTATAATAGTTAGTACCCTTTGCTAAAACGTGGTACCCTTTGCTAAAATGCTGTTATCTGGTACTGTGAACTCATGTGCCATCTTGTTCCAAGTGGGTTCCTCTCCCTTCAGGTAAGAGCTTGGGCTGCTCAGTAGGAAGCAGGACTTTGGCCATCCACCCTTAGCACCCACACACTGTCCAGAGCATCTTGATGGCAGAGAAGCCTCAGACACCCAGACACATCTTGGGAACTGGGAGGACCTAGAGTGCTTAGGGCCAGAAGGGAAATGGGTAGATACGAAGTCTATATACCTCTAGGCAATTTAGATCATGTAATAGATCTGTGGTCCGCTCATTTTCCTTTTGGATCCAACAAGAGAAAAGAGACTCATACTGTATGGAAACCAGCTGTGATGCCCAATTTGGGCTCCTCCTGGGGGATGTTTATGGTGCCAGGATGGAGCCCTCTTGGAGCTGAGCCTTTTGAGAGAAGGTCCAGACTCTTGCACTGGAATGGGGAGACCTGGGAAGGGGCCAGAGGTTGGTTGTTGGAATAAAGGCAGAAGTGGTGGATTCCTGGTTCCTTTGAGAGAATCACGTCTGTTTCTGTGTCCCAATGCCATTGTAAACCCAGCAGGTACTAAAGGAATATCTGATTTCTTCTGTGCAGTTACCAGCTCCTCCTTTTGACATCCCTTTTCCTTATCCTGGTACTAACAATTTTCTCTCTCTCTCTCTCTCTCTCTCTCTCTCTCTCTTTTTTTAATGTTCCTTGAACCACATGTCCATAAGTAATGAGTCCTTTCTTGTGCTGTTGCTTACACCCATTACTTCAGGCTCTTACCCCTTCACATCTACTCTATTGCTGGAGTCTCATCGTGATTTGTCTATCTTAGCCTTTAAATACTTCAATCAGTTTGCCTTCTACCACCAGATCAGTCATCTCAACCTTCTGCTTTCTCTGCTCAGGCCCTGTGGTGGTCCTCATCATGATCTGATTAGGGTAGTTACAGACCCCAAAGCCTCTATGCATATGTCTGTCCTGCTCTGTTTTATGCCCCAGACTTGTGCACTATCTGGACCAGCTTCCTTACTCCTCGCTTCCTGTGACAACACTCACTGGCCTTGCTTGGTCATCACTTCTCTTTGGCCTCAGGGCTTGCTTTGTGTTTCATCTCCTGCCTGGAGCCTTTCCTGTTCCAACCATTTCTCTTTAGCATCTGCAACACTAGTATGTGCAGAATAGCCCTTGACGAACATGCGCCATATGTGAGTGGAGAGGGAGCCTGTGAGCGTGTGGGTGTGCCAACTATGGTACGGTTTTTAGCATGTGTCCTGTGTTGCCAGCGGAGGGGGGTACCTGCTCACTGTGCTCTGTATTGCCCACACTTCCCTGTGGAGCATGGTGCCACTAGCGCCTGGCACGCCGAATTGGCAGTGACTTGTTAGAATTCCTGAAAGTTGTAAATGTTCACATTGCGTGCATCCTCCTGATAGGCTGTCCAGTCTGTTACATGAAAACCTTCTGTGGTGAGCTCTGCTCTGCTTCTCTTGGTCCCTTACGCCTGCCTATTCACTTGTTTTCTCAGCCCGTGCCCCGGATCATGGTGCAGTCTGCCCTCCCAGATGTGGGGACGACCAGAATGGTGGAGGTGAGTTAGTTGGGCAGGTGTGGCACCTTTGCTGGTGGCTGCCCCACATGTGGTGGGTAGCCCCGAGGCTCTAGTTGTTGAGTCCACACCCGTGGGTTTTTAATTTTAGCGTTCCCATTTTGATAATTAGCTATAATATAGGTCACTGTCTTCTCCCTCTATATTTTCCTTGTTCTACTTTTCTATTTTCAACTTGTTAATCATATGATTGCTAAACTTTTAGGTGCTTGACTGCTAATGTAGTCTGCTGCTTTAATAGCCCACTGCTAGGCAAAGGCGATTTCTATAAACAGAACAATCTCCTTATCCTGAGTGTTTGCTTAATTCTCAGTTTTACATTTCATACTGATTCATGATATCAGCGTGAAAAGACTAATGCTAAACTGGGGAGAAAATAGTCTCTTATGATCTCCCACAGATGAACAGCACTTCTCATCTTATGAATAGCAAATCCATTTTCTCCCACTGTGCATTCATTCTCTTAGGAAGGGCTGTATCTTTTATCGGAAAATTTTATTTATAAAACAACAGCAAAAAAGGGCAAATGATTTGAAAGGGAACTCAGACCTCCATGGATTCACTCCTTTCTAAAAAGGCCCTTTTTAATCCAGAACGTATTTGATGTTCGCGTGGCCCCCCTCTGTCCTCCATGAGCAGCGTTTGCTAGTTTGCTGAGGCAGGACTGGGACCCCAAGGCCAGTGGGACAGAGGGATACCACCTCTCTTCTGGGTGAGGGCACCAGACCTGCGACGGCCTCTGTGGCTCAGGCAGGTCTGGAAGTGTCAGTGGTAAGGGAATAACCCACAGATGGGGGAGAAGGTTTCCACTCACATATCAACTCCAGTCAAGTGGGAGCGGCTTCCTGCAGTGCTGTAACGGAAGGAATCTGAGGCTGTGCTCAGGCTCAGCAGGAAAGAACCGAGCAATCAGAGCTAGCCTTCTGCCACCTTTAGTCCCTGTTGTCACTGTGCATTTGACCTCCTATCCCTGGTTGTCACTTACTGGAGGCTTTGGATAAATCTTTTAACCTCTCTGGGCCATCTTGTAAAATGCATATGGTAATACTTGCCAGCCTACATCAAAAGATTCATGTGGAGGCAAATGGGATAATGACCAGGGAAATCCAAGACACTGTTGCTGGACTCTTACCTCCTCAGGACAGGACCGATCTGGTCCTTTGCAGACAGCTGTCCATGTGGCAACGATGGGGTGTTACCATCGAGGAATAGGGAACACGTACTATTTCAGAGCCACAGTTCCTATTCAGATACTAGACTCTGATAGTTTTGTTTGTATATTCTTCCCTGCCTGGTCAGTGATATTAAAAATAAAATAGAAAAGAATAAATAAAACATGTACAATTTGTAAAAGAAAAATGATTGAAGAATTGCCTAATCTTTTAGAGTATTTATGCTGGTGACAGTTATTGATCTATTGGATTTAGTAAATTTTGCAGCCTGAAGATCCATCACAAAAATGGGCTGTTAATCTCAAGAGGCGCCGTTAATTTCGTACCCTGAAAGTGTGCCTTGTGGGGAAAGGAGGGCCTCTGGAGACAGGAATATAAATGACAACTCACGTGAAAATGCATGATTTATCAGACTGCTGAGTTAAGCCAAGTAACTGTAAGAGACTTATAGATCTCAGCTGTTTCCCAGTTCAAATAAATCCTGTATTTCAAATGGAAAATGGCCATTCCTGTAATATAAATAATCTTTCCGTAAATATTGGAAAACATATTTCTTTTTCTCAACAGCACCCTTTTCCAGAGCACCAACTCCATTCCCTCTTTCTGCCTTCTCTCTTGCCCCTGTCATTGTGAACTGGGAATAGAAGATAGTCTGCTAACTTCTTCAAATGGTTTCAATTATCACCGAAAGAACACCTTAGGAGCAGTTCAGAACCTGTAGCATGTGGACGAGCTGTGGCTGTCATCATTCCCCTTGGGATGGGGCTGTGTGTGTCTCTATCAGAGTGAGGCAGACAGGTGATATGAGATGAGGAGGGCAGCCTCTGCGGTTCCTTCTGCGCTCAGCCCCCCTTCACTGTGGGGCAGGCTACTGCCTGGCCTGTGTATCCCTGGACCAGTGGGCCCTCGACCCATGACTTGGGACCAGCTTGCAGGCAGCTCTTCCAGCCGACTCCCGGGCAGAAGCCAGCCACTAGGCCCGAGGGTCATTCCTGGCTGTCCTGGTGAAGCTGTGTTGAGGCACATCCACTCCTTCAATGGGATCCTCATTTCAATTTTGCAGGAGAAAGTATTCTTCTGGCTTCTGATGATTCTCTCAGTTCCTCATGAAGCCAGTGGTGGGCAAGGGGATCTGTTTCCATGAGAGCAGGGTGCTTAGCCTGAGTGCAGGGAGGCTGGGATGGGGCTGGTAAGGAGGGAATTGAGACATAATATGCACCTACTGTGTGCTTCACCCTGTGGTGAGGACCAGGTCATGCCTGACTGACCCTACGTGGCTGTCGAGTAGGTCTTCTTTCCCACAACCGGGCCCTTGTCCCACAGCAGCTGAGTATTCAGCTCAGTTCTGACATCTTCTTCCCCGGAGACGGCATCAGATCCCAGGGGTTAAGGGCTCAGGCCCACAAGACTGTCCCTGCTTTGGGTACCAGTCACAAGTCCAGGTGGTCACCTGTGCTTCTGACCAACCAGGTATAGATAAGAGGTTCCAATGATCCTCCATTTGGGCTTGACTCATTTGTCAGAATGTTCGTATAACTCAAGAGAAACATTTTACTTACTACATCACCAGTTTATTACAAGGGATACCGCTCAGGAACAGCCACATGGAAGAGATGCATAGGGCGAGGTGAGGGGAAAAGCCGTAGACTTTCAACACCCTGCCTGCGTGTGATACTCTCCCCACGCCTCCATGTGTTCGCCAGACCAGCAGCTCCTGGAAGCCTGTCCCTTTGGATTGTTATGGAGGCCTTGTTACATAGGCATGATTGATTAAATTGTTGGCAATTGGTGATTAGGTTACCTCCAGCCCCTCTCCTCTCCCTGGAGGTTGGCTGTGGGGCTGAAGCTCAAATCACAAGGTGGGTTGCCCTGGCAACCAGCCCTCATCCTTAGGTGCAGGCCTGGAGTCACCTCATTAACATGAAGTCAGGTGTTATTGGAAGGGGCTTGTTAGGAATATCAAAATGCCTTTATCACTCTTATCACTTAAGAAACTCCAAGGGTTTTGGGAGCTCTGTGGCAGAAACAGGATGAAGGCCAAATAAGTATTTCTTATTATAAGTCACACTGTGTCAGGCAGCAGGCAGGTGGTGGCTATTTGCTCCATGCTCAGCATGGTGCTGTGGGAAAAGCTGGGGTCCCCCGGACTGAAGTAGTGGATGAGAACTGGCAGCAGAGTGCCCAGGTGCACAGCAGCACTCTTTTCACTGTCAAAGCTGTCATGTTTCGACTGACAACAAAACCTGCCTAAATCCTTTGGAAATGAGCAGTTGGCTTTGAATTTTAACCTTTATTGTTGGCCCTTCCCTGCCTCAGGCTTACCGAGAGAGCATGGGGGTTAGTGCGGCTCCTGATGTGACTGTGCAGATGGCCCCCGTGAAGATCTGTGACAGACCCACAAAAGCACCTCCCCAGCAGTCTGCCACTGCCAACACCCAGGCCCCTGAAGTTCAGGAAGGGCCTCCCAGCCCCCTGAGTGAGGCCTCCAGCGGGTACTTTTCCCACAGTGTCTCCACTGCAACGCTGTCTGATGCATTCGTCCCTGGCCTTGATGCTGCGGCTGTAGCCGGGGGCCAGACACCCGGCTCGCCCCCTCCTGCCTTCTGCCAGGCCACCCCGGACACGGAGCTCCCCTTTCTATCTGCTGCTCCTGCTGCAGACAGTGATCTTCCTGCCCGGCTGGAGGGTCAGCGCAGCCTTCTGTCCCTGCCAGTCCTGGCAGCGCAAAATGCTTGGGGCAACAGCAACGGTGCGTCCGAGGCCAGGGGAGCTGTTTCCTCAGAGAAGCAGAATGAAGCAAGGGCCTTACCGACTCAGCTCCCCACCTCTGTCCCCCAAAAGGAATCACCCAGCCAGCAGAGCGGTGGCGAAGTTTCCTCGGCCACCAAGCAGCTCGGAAGACCCACGGACCATGTGAAGCCTGCTGACAGCTTAGAGCTAGATGTCTCCAAACCACAGCCTCCTGACCTCCTGTCTCAGTCACCTGCTCCAGCGTCTCCGTTCAGAATCCAGAAGGTGCGAACCTCCGAGCTGAAGTCGTTCACGCGCATGCTTGGCGGGGACCCCAGCAGCCTCTCTGGTGCTGAGGAGGACCTCCTGGCCTCTGGGGGGCTGGGCGACAGCAGTGCTGGGGCACAGGCCTTGGGAAAGCTGGAAGTTTCCTCAGATTCTGAAGAAGCCAGTGAAGTCCCAGAGTGGCTCAAAGAGGGAGAATATGTCACTGTGGGCACCAACAAAATAGGCATCGTGAGATACATCGGGCCCACTGACTTTCAGGAGGGGACGTGGATCGGAGTGGAGTTAGACTTACCTTCAGGTGAGTACTGCTTGTTTGGGATGGTCCCTGGGTCTCGAAGGGACTTCACCAACTGCTGTCGGCTGGCCCCACCCTGCCACTGCTGGGAATTTGCCGTGTGCCCTTGGGCACATCATTTGACCTCCCTGAGACTCCAGGTCATGACTTTTCAAAATCAGGACTGAGAGTTCCCTTTAAACTTCCAGATGTTTTTCAAAAACCTAAGGCATTGATTGAAAGCTACTCTCAATTTGGTAATGAATTCAATGCTTTTTTTTTTTTTTTTTTTTTTATTTAAGTCACAGAGGCATCTGCTTTTGAACTGTAACAGTATAACAGCTTTGTCTGCTGTGTCTGCTCAGGTTGCAAACACTGATGGGTGTGTGCAGCTGGATGCCTCCGCTTGAGAACAGAAGAGGTGATCCAAGATGCGTTGCTGGCTCGCCATCCAACCTCTTATGTCTCATCACAGAATGGCACATCTTAAAAGCAAATAGATCACCATTTTCTGAAAAACCAGGGCCATAACTTAAGGAAATACTTGGTCCTTCTGACGTTTCTTTTTAAAACAGCTTTACTCTGATACCAGTTCACATGTTGTAAAGTCTACCTGTTAAGTGTACAATTAACTTAATGGTTCTGAGTAGTTGTGCAGTCACTACCATGGTCTAATTTTAGAACAGGTTCCTCAACCTAAAAAGAAGCCACATGTCCATTTTGAAGGCACTCCCCATCCCTAAGCCCTAGTTAGCCAATCAATAATCAGTTTTTCGGCTCTCTAAATTTATATGCAATGTCCTAATCTGGACTTTCACATAAAGAGGATCATACAATATGGTAGGCTTTGTGACTGGCTTGTCTCAGTCAGCGTAATTTTCCAGGGTTTATCTGGTTACAACCTGTGTCAACACTTCATCCCTTTTTCTGGCCAAATAACATTCCAGTCTGTGGAAGTCCCACCTTTTGTTCATCCATTCGTCAGTTGATGGACATGTGGATTGTTTCTACCTTTTGGCTGGTGTGAATAATGCTGTAAGGTGGAAGTGGTTCTAGAAGAGTAATGCAGCACAGGCCAGAACATTTTTTTTAAAGAAGTGTCTGCTATTATGTGTGGGGAAATTGGGAGAGAAGTTTATATCTGCAATTGGACTCAAGAAGTAAAGGGGGATTAGCAAACAGATGAATTCATGCAACAGTTAAGTATCTACCATGGGGCAATCACTGTCTTCGTTTCCAAGGCTACCTTGGGGAGCAAAATAAGTCCCTAGCCTCACTGGGCTTTCAGTTTGGGAGGGAGTAAATTACCAAGTAAACAAATACTTAAAACTTGATAGTTCTGAGTGCTGTGAAGAAAATGAAATGGGGTGAGTGGGTAGAGAACAGTGGGGAGACCGGAAGTGGGGAACCAGTGGGTGGGGGTGGCTGGTGGGCTCTGGGAGCTGAGGGATAGTGGTGGCCACAGAGATAGAGAGATGGTCTGTTAGATGTGCTGAGAGGTGCGCAGAGGGGTCACTTGCTGACAGGAGGTGATGAGGGTGGGCCTGTCTGGAGCGAGGGGCAAGAGAGAAGGATGGGGCAGGATGGGCAGAGAGTGAAGACAATTGATGATTGTTTTTGCTGCAGAGAGCATGTTCCCCACCACCCATCACCATGAGATATTGACATTTAGGGGTCAGAGTGGTCCCTTTGCTCAGGTATCCTCTCTCCCTACCGACTTGAGCTCTGGGTTCTCATTCTTCACCTTAATGCGTTTTCATTTGTTTTTACAAAGGAAACTTCTCCCCCCCGCCCCCCATTTTGACACATTAACTGTACATCTGACTATCTACAATTTGGTAATTTGCCAATTTCTATCTAATTGATTCAGGAAAAATAATCATTCTACCAACAACCTCCATCCTAGGTTTACATTTGGACCATCCAGGCTGAAAATGGTCTGTGCCCAGGGGAGGGTGAGGTTGGTGCCACTTCTGCCTTGCTGACTTGCCTGTGCCTGGGCATGGGAAATGGCAAGGGGCACTCATCGACCTCACACCTGGGCTGCCTGGGGGTGCCTGCCGCCGGCGGCCACCACGTGCTGCCCAGAAGCCTGTGCCCCTGGCCTCATGTGTTCGACAGGGAATGAGGGGCTGTGGGAAGCTACCTCTATGTCGTCTTCTCTTTTCTCCTCAGGTAAGAATGACGGCTCCATCGGAGGGAAGCAGTAATTCAAGTGCAACCCTGGCTACGGGCTGCTAGTGCGGCCGGGCCGGGTGCGCAGAGCAACGGGCGCAGGGCGGCGGCGCAGTGCGGGGCTCAGACTGCAGGGTGCCCCCGAGCCCCGAAGGAGCAGCACCCTCTCCGGCTCCGCCACCAACCTGGCCTCCCTGACGGCAGCTCTGGCCAAGGCAGAGGGTGCCACGGCGCTGAGGGCCGACAGGAGCCATAAGAACCCGGAGAACCGGAAGTCCTGGGCCAGCTAAACCTGCACCCCGCGCCGTGGCCCTCCTGCCTCACGTCCTCCCCGGCTGCTAGCCTGCTTCCCCAGCGAGTGCTGGCGGAGGGGGCGGCTCCCGAGCCTGGTGGGTGACAGCCCTGGGGTAGGCAGTGACACCTCAGACCCCCTTCCCTGGGGAGCAGGGCCATGAACCCTTTTTGCACAACACAGGGCTCGTGACCTCTCCCTGCTCCTCCCAGGGCTCTGGAAGCTTCATTTCTTCTTCTGCTCAGAGAATGAAGAGACATCTCCACAAAGCAGAGGGGTTGAAGGTTCTAGGAGTCTGGAGCAGTCCTGGATGTGCCAGGCCCCTGCCGGCTTGGTGCCTGGAGTTTTCCCCACCTGGGGCTGTTCCTTTTTTCTGTTCTGATGACCCCATTAACCTCGTAACCAACGTCATAACCGTACCAGTGCCTTTCTTTCCCACAGAGGCAGGGGAGCCTCCCTCTGCCTCCAGGGCCAGCACCCCAGCCCACCCACCCTGGTCCTGGCTTGCTCCCCGGGCTCGCTGCATTCTCTGGCCCCCAGAGACCCTACACCACGTAGCCGACTCCCACAAGTGCCTCTGGTGGGCCTCCTCACTTCTGGCGTGAGGCCTGCTCCCCCAGCAAGCGGCACTGGCCCTGACCCTCCCGCCTTTCCACAGAGTCTCTTAGCGCTTTCTTTGTGGGCTTGTTAGTGTCTTTGTACCTGGAAAGCGTTTTCTCTTTGCCATTTGTTCCCTTAACAGAGTGCTTGGAATATATTTATTTATATTTATTTTTTTCAAAATCCGAAATCTTTTCGCGAGCCACAATCTTCTGCCCAGGCACAAGGGTCCCAGGCCCGCCTTGCACATCGCCAGCCTCTGAGGCCACTCAGGAGCCGCCAGCCTCCTGCCTCTGGCAGGGGTTTCCAGGGGGGGCCAGAGGATGATGCCCCTCCTTAGGTTATCATTGACACAGACACATAAGTGGCCTTACTCTAAGACACACAAGTGGCCTTACTCTTACCCTAAGCAGAAACTTGGAGGATTATGGGATGGTGTGCCTGTAATGGTGAAGTCAGTCAGAGGCATCATGACCTTATTTGGTGCAATTTTGTTTTCTTGCAAGGGCCTTAGACCAGGTTAACTTGGCAGTTCTATACCCTGACTCCCTGAGGCTGGGGAGCTGCGGCCTAGCAGGTGGGCCTGTGCAGCGAAAGCTCCGCACTGTACCTACCAGGCCAGACCCGGACAGCATGAGACCCTCAGTGAGCATTGCCCAGCTCCTGCAGGACGCCTCCAGTCCTAGAGCCCTTCCCTGCTGGGCTGCTTGGGAAGGATTCTGCGGAAGTGAGAAGAGGGCTGGTGCCTCACAGGCCAGGGGGTGGTGTGTGGCTCTAGAGGGGAGTGTCAGGGAACCTAATGCTAGTCCTTCTGGAACTTTCTACCGGAGTAGCTCAGGGACCTAGTGCCCAGCATTCAGCCACCTGCCATGCATGTCCTTATGAGAGCCTCACGAGGGCCTGAGCAGGAGCCTAGGGGACACCCTGGCAGCCCAGGGACAGGCCCTTGGTCAGGATTTGTGTTCGGCACTCTGGGAGGCCTGTTTTTAGTTCTCACGTTTAGACTCTTATAAGTGATGCCCAGGAAGCCCTTTTTGAAAGATCTCTGGTTCCCTAGGGATTTGCAGCCCCTTCGGAGAAGTAATGTCAGGTTCCCTGCCCACGGGTACCTGAAGGTTTGCAGCTGCCACAGGCCCGAATCACCCCGGGGAGGAGCCCGGGATTAATTAGCTTCCATTAATTACACGTGGCACCGCGTGCCTGCTCACCGCCTCGGGCCCAGCTTCCTAACAGCCTGCTGTGTGCCAGGTGAGACCTGCCGCTCCCGCCCGCTCCGTGTGCCTCGATCCTCGCCGGGCTGGGCCCGCGAGATGTGAGCTGCAGCAGGAGGACAGCCCTGGAGCTGAGGCGCACACCCCTTGTGTAGCTTTTTCTCAGCAAATGTTCAGCTTTAGGGCTGGAAGGGATCTTCTCACAGGGAACAGGCTCGACCCAAGGAGAGTTCAGTGCTATTTTCCAGTTTGTAGAAGCCCCAGCTCTGATTCCCAGCCAGGCTCTCTCTGCCGCTCCCCTGAAGCCCCTGTCTGTCCTCCGAGCACAGTGGGTGCCTCCCGGGCCCCTCAGCCCCTGGCCAGCTGTTCAGAGAATCTGTCAGGCTGTAGTCACTTAGCAGCTCCCTCCAGGATCTGCTGCCCCAGCGCCCAGCACCGCCCAGCCTGGGGTGGTCTCAACAGGGGCTCTGAGCGTCCAGCTCCCCCATGACAGCCGCCCTCTGCATCCTGTCCTTGCCTGCACAGCGTGTTGGCCCAGGAGGTAGCTATCTCCGTTTTGTGGCAGCCATGAGGGTACCAGGGCCGTGGTTTGCCGTTCAAGGGCTGGAGCAGGCCCGCTGGGAGCCCCAGGTGTGAGGGGACCATGCCTTTGTGTTCCTTGGTGTCCTTAGCTGGCACGTCGGGGAACACCTGCTGGGCACGTGTCCTGGAGCCTGGGGCTGTCATTTCTGTGCTTGTGGAGTCTGCTTAGCATCCTTCCCAGCACCGAAGTCCTCCACAAATCTGTGTTCAGGTTAGACTTTCTCTGCGGACACCAGCAGCAGTGTGGTCTGTTGACTTAGGTCTCTGCACCACCCCTTCCTCTGAGGGGAGCAGTGTTGCTCCCACAGCCTCCCATGACCTGCTTGTGGGCAGACGTGCATACCACGTTCACTGGGGAGAAAAATGGAAGGTCATTTGGCCGTTTATGAACCTTATTTACTTGGCAGGCAGAGTACTTTCCTGACCGCAGCCCTGCACGTGCTGTCAGCAGTCTTCTGTAGAACCATCTTGGGAAGGTCAGTTGGGAGATGAGTTTCATGCTCACGCTCTCTCACTCTCGCTCTCTCTGTCACTTGGTTTGGTTAAAATGGAGTGGACTGTAATGGAATTACAGACTTGAGTGGGGTCATATTAGCTGGAACTCACAGGAGCCGTGAAAGGACCAGCCTGGGGTGTGAAGAGGTTCCGGGACCACCTTCTCTTTCTCCCAAGGTCCCCTCCTCAGCCAGCACGGCTTCCCTCTGTCCCCTGGGTATGCTTTTCCAACATTCCCCCTTTCCTCTGCCTGAGACTCCCCACCACCCATCCCCGTTCCTTGCAGGCCTGCCTCCCCAGGGAGCAGTGTTGCCCCAGCGCGGGAGCAGCTGACAGTGTGACCAGCTGAGCAGAGGTTCCGCCGGGGCAGCCTGGCTGCCCACCGGGTGGGAGGCCGTCACTGGTCACAGGAGGAAGCTGCTACTGTGGCTGCTGTCTGGTAGGCAGCCCTCGCCTGCCGTGGAGTGTGTTTTGGGCCCTGTCTGTGGGGTGTGAGAGGGGAGATGTCTGCCCCATTGGTGTCATTGGCGAGCTGCCACTGCAGCTGAGGGGTCAACCCTGGGCCTGTCCTGGGGCCGGGAGAGGCTAGTCTAGCTTTCCTGACCCAGCTGTGGGCCCATGGGCACCCTGGGAGCCACGAGGACTGTGCAGGGTTCTCACAGGGACAGGGTTTGCGGTCCCAACCCTCCAGGCTTCTTGCTCTATGACCTGTGCGTTCTTTCAAGGCCTGGGTGTCACTGGGTCAAGCAGAGCGCAGGCGTCACTCCATTGCAGTCGCTGTCTTCTTGGGCAGCTCGGGGCAGCCCTCCTCCTTCGGGAGTGAGCAGTGGGAGTCTGAGGGAGTCCTGCCTGCTCTGGTCCATGGCCTTCACTCTCGCTCCTCAGCATGGACTCATGTTAACCTGTTACTAGAAAAGCAATGACGTGGGTAGACGTGGTCACTAACGCCATAGCCCAGGCAGTCCCCATGGCCCAACGTATATTGGGCCAAAGGTGCGGTCTTGCTGGGAGCGCGGCTGTGGGAGGTGGACGGAGGGGCTCCTCTCACCCACTTCTGTTCTCATCTTACTCATAGGCCTAAGATTCGAGATGTGGTTCCAGCAGGTCCCAGGCTCTGGGACTGGGTATGACAGCATGAAGGGATAGGCCACATGGATGCTGGGGCCACCCCAACGGCCCCAGCCAGCACCAGGACATGTCAGAGGCCAGGCGGGGAACACCACTGGCCGCCACCCCCAGGGTACTGCAGTGAGGGGCAGCTGTCCAGATTCCCAGCCTGGTCAGAGGGAGCAGGAGCATGAGAGCACGGCCAGTGCGTGTGGCTAGGACCAGCCACGAAGGGCCTTGTGCGTTTAGTGAGAGATTTGAGCTTCCATTGAGCTGTGACTGGGACCCTTGAAGAGTTTGAAAGGCTTAAACGGTGTTTAGATTCCCCCATTACTTCCTTACATTTTCTCATCTTGGCTTAACGTTCCCTGATGTGAAACCCACAAGAAGTTCAAGGGTATTTATTTTCCTGGCTAAGATTAGATCCACTTGCCTGAGGTCGGCCTGTAGGCCTGCATCTTGGACAGGGAGTGCCTGAGAAGGCAGCCACCTGTCTATTGTGCCTTACTCTGGGGACAGTGAGTGCAGCCTGTCTTGCAGCCCAAGACGCTGGCTCAACTGTCCCCACACGTATCTTTCTCTCAGAGAAGTCCATCGTGGCTTCAGCCAGGCTGCTGACACTACTTTTGTGGGGGTCTTGGAGCGTCTTCTCCATGTGCGGAGTTTTGTAAATATGATAGGTTCACATATAAAGAAATGATTTTGATCGGGGGGACTCTCTTGATTTGCTGCACATGAAGTGGGAGTTTAAAAATTCCAAAGACTCTGTAATGAATTGTAAAGACTTAATGATTTGTATTATATAATGAACTAAAGCTCTGTACTTTTGTACCATATATGCCCTTCCGTCGTATGACCAGCAGCCTCTAAATAAAACCAGATGATTTCTTGCCTATGTCTGAGGTTGGGCTCATTGCTTTCACCTCCCCCAACCTGAGGCAGGGGTGTTTGGGCTCATTCTAGGCTGTCTCACAGGGCAAGGGGTGGCCCGGGTTCCAAGACTTTTCAAGACTGAGAGTAGGACAGGAGGTTCAAGGGAAGAGCGGGCCCTGAGTGCATGTCTCTCCAGGCCCCTGCATTCCTTGTGGTTTGGACTAAAGAACCAGGGAGGGCCCGCAGGTTCTGTGGCCAAGTCTTATTCCCCTTAGTTGAGACCCTCTTACAGGAGCCAAGAGCCAATAGAAACTGTCTGATGGCCTTTGACCCAGGGTGACTGGAGCTTCCTGGCTAACTGGGAGACAGCTGGCCAGGAGGAAGTTGGTGGTGGCAGGGAAGGTCCCCTTCTCTGGAGCAGGATGTCCCAATTCTCAGGCCACAGCTCACCATGTGCCTTGATCTACATGATCCACCCCATACCTGGGAGCTGAGGACTTCCTTGCACTGCTGCACAAGTGGCTTGACCCTTGAAGGTTCTGCAACAGGCGTTTGGGGGAGGAGTGCTTATGGACACTGGCAGGCCTGGGTAACACCCTGCAGGCTTGGAACCCAGTGTTATTGGTTCCTGCTCATCCCCATGAGACCGGCATCCTCAGGACGTTGCTCCCAGTCGGGACCCAGCACGGTTCACAAGGGCACTAGGGGTGCTGGGCCCTGTCCTCTGCCCTGGGGAGGTGAGCAGGTCTCCTTTGATTGCCTGCAGGGAGCCCTGCACCAGGCAGGGGTGAGGCCACCCAGTGTGCTGTTTTCATGGGCAAATGGACTCCCCGGTGGCCCTGCACCAGTGAATCACTTGGCCCTCCTCTGATGGACAATGTCCTTGCCGGCTGGAGGTGGCCACCAGTCAGGGCATGTCTTTGCAGGGCTGGTTTATACTCCTAAGTGCCGATGGGTTGTTTTTTGAGGTAAGTACTGCCAAATTTTAACGGAAATTTGGCAGCTGGGAGCTGCCCTGTTCTGAGGCAGAAGTCTGAATGTAGAATTGATCTAGCTCCTAGGATGAATCTCTATTTTTCAAGCCACTATGAGAACTCCCACAGCATAAGACTGTGGGGTGGTTACGGTTGCTCAGACCCAAAAATGAGCTCTAGTGGTTATGCACGTTTAGTCCGTTTGCTCACTTGCTGAGTCACTCGGTGAACATTTGTGTGCTTGTTCTGCGTCAGCCCTCGTGTAGTGAACAGCGCAGACGGACAGTCCTGACACGTCCCACAGTAAGGTCTGGAGAGCACGGTGCCCCCGTGAGGGGCCCCAGAGGCTTTAGGGTTTGAGGACGTTCCCTCTAGGCCGGTGTCTGCAGGACTTGGAGATGAGGTGGAGGCGGTACTGCTGGACAGGCGGGCACGAAGGAAGCAGAAAGCGGCTTTGGCCCCAAGAGAAGATCAAGAGGAGACCGTGTCCTCAGTATCCCCTCTCCCATCTCCTGCTCACTTCTACTTGATGACTTAGGATTTCAGGGTAACTTAAAATTTTGCATAGCCCTTCCAAACTCTGTAGGATAAGAAGAGAAAACCGTTTACTTCTCAGGTTTTCTCTGAGGAGGGGTAAAACAAGTCAATCTGAGGCTGCGGGGTGAGCGGGGACTTAGGCACTCTGTCCTTGAGTCCTGGGTAAGAATCTGCTCCCAAACATGGGTGTCTTTAAAGAAAAACAATAAAGCCCCAGCTTCCTTTTCATTTTTCACTGCAAATGGAAAGACAGCTAAGAAAGTTAGGTGCTGGGGACACGGCGTGGAGCTGGAGAGGGAAAGTGTGTGGAGCTTCTCAGCTT